TAGAATCAAAACGAAAATTACAACGAGGATTCTCTAAATACGAATCACGATAGAGAAACGAAAAATTTAAGATATTATATATTTACTGTATGCCGTTTCAATGCTTTTTTATTTCGAACTTCCACGAGAAATCGCGCATCTTTGTGGCAATGGTTGCCGCGCAGAGGATGTCGTTTCATGCTATCTCGTGCACGCCGTCGATTTTTGCCGGTCATTTTACCAAACAATGTCATGAATATTTAATACACGACAATTTGCAAAAGAATATTTATATTACTTTTTACCCAGCATCCTTTGTCCATTTCGTATTGAATATTAAAGGATTGATAACCTAGAATAGACTAAATTAAAATTCTACAAATAATACGCCGATGTGCTTGTCTACAACAGTATGTATGTATGCTCTAAATAGTCAGTACAAAATTTTATAATGTAATAATACAACTGTCGATAAAGTCACGTAATCAGTACAAAATTTTATAGTGTAACAATGTAACTGTCGATAAAGAAGTGACGGATGGTCAACTTTGAAAAAATGGACATTCCTCGTGTTTTCCACTCGTCAAACGTTGAATTAACGAAAAAAAAAAAAACAAAGTAATCACAGTCATTGTTCACAATGATTGTTGTCGTTATTATGCGAAATGTTCTTATATCGTGCATTTGCAATAATACTACACTTAAACCAGGAAACACTAAAATTGATAACGTCGGTCGTTCTCAGGATGTAAGAAAGATAACATGTAATTGTAATTCATTCGTACGTTTGGGAAACTCCTTGGAGCACGGAAAAAGATAATAATTAAAAGAGATTGAGGTAGAAGCAATTTTCTTTATCCCATATTATATTAAATCATTTTTATCCCATATTTTTCACAATGATTCTTAACATTGTGTTATATGATAACAGAAATTAATTCCTTGTGCTTTTAGTTGTTTAAAAATTGATATTGCGAATACATCGAGGAGGATCGTAGTACAAAATAAAGCACGTGTTATACACATGTTATATGTATATAATACGCGGTACTATAAATATATAATATGTATATAATCAATAATGTTACATATTATTACGTCACACTATTGTAATTACTGTGCTTGTTTCAAGTATTTAAACTCTATTCCAAGGAGGAGAAACAATATCTGTAGATGTCGCTCGAGACTTAAATTTTAATTTTAATTTTAAACTTCTTTTAGAACAAGATATGAATGCAATCTATTTTGAAAAAAAACTTAAAAAGAACCGGTATTTAATATTTTTTGAATACAGACTTATATTTTATATTTTTGATGAAAACAATTTAAAGAACAAAAACTAGTTACAGAAGAGCATGTAGAAACTCGGCTTAAGGTTTAGGTTAGGTTGTCTTCAAGGCGTGACAAAAATAAAATGGCTAGAATAACAGCGAGAGTCTGCATTATCAAGTGACAGAACGTCACGTAACTTGAATTATATTATATTATCAAATAAAAATATGAATTATTCGTCTTAAATATATTCCGTATATACATATATTGATCGTTTTCGATTTGCATATTGGCCGAAGGATGTAATCATGTTAAACGACGTATCAAAGAGATTGTCACGAAGCTCCGAAACAACTGAGGTACGTTCATAAAACGTTCATATGTTTCGACAAATTACTAAATCAATCGTCGAAGTTTGTAAAAACGAAGTTAATTGTAAATCGTATTTACGATATATTGAATATATATAT